ACAAGACTCATGATCGATAAAATAAAGGATGGTGAACAAAATCTCAGGGAAGCCAGAAATCAGATCCCTTTGTGCTATGCTCACAAAGTAATGATTTCTAAGTAAAATGGAAGTCGGGTTTTTTCATCTCATCAGATACATGTGAATATTTCGGTAAAATATCTCCAAGATTACAAAATGAAGCAATATATTTAGTGCAAAGACTCAGAAACCTCTCCTCAATCCAACATGGAGTGTAACATGAAGAGAAGGAAAAATGGTTAATACCTTTTTGCATGGATATAATTGTAAGCCTCTGAGTGTGCAATTGCAATCCAATGCATGGCCTGGTTAAAGACACCAGTAGGTAAAGCTGAAGTGGCAACCTCAAGCATATCAGGATTACCACCAGGCCATGCACCGGCACAGTAAGTGAGCATACAAAAAACATGAGGCTCATTAAACGTCACCCAATAGTCCACCAGATCTGATACAGTGTCCACAACGAGCCTGCAAAATGGATGAGAAAGAATGCTTTCATAACATGATAAGCACTGCACATTGTGGGTTTCATACTAAGCCCCTGTTTTGCCCCCATTTCTTAAAACTCATTTTTCCCTTTCAAACACACATTTCATGGGACCCACAACTTTTTAACCACACAATTCATCAAATTTTATCAAAATCTACTAAAAATTTAATTTTTATCCAAACCAAACTGGGGTTAAGTGCTCAGGTCAGAATTAACCAAAAGCACAAGGTTATGGTTCAACATAACACCCCCTTGTCAGACGTTTTTGTTTTGACTTTTGATAACATCAAAAGTTATATGACTCTGACTGATTGAATCAAACATTAGACATTTTTTAACTTTGAGTCATAAGAAAATCAAACCATACAAGCATTTTCAGACAACTGCACATAACTTGCAATTTGGTAGCTCACAGTTTACTTTAGAGTTGCATTATGAAGATTCATGAGAAAAAGTTATGATGTTATCAGAAACACATATAATAATAACCAGACCAGCAAAAAAAGTAATGACTCTGCTACTTATGAAGCTTGACCTGGTAAACTCCAAAAAATAGTCAACAGTCTTTTCCAGCTTCCACCCTCCATACTCTGCTGCCCATGGTGGCAAAGAATGATGAAACAATGTCAGCATTACTTTCATCCCATATGACTGAACTCTTCTGATTATCCATTTATATCGCTCCAATGCTGCAAAGTTGACCTAAAGGAGCTGGTCAGATAAATCCATATGTCTCATCATTATATAATGGAGAAGTCAATATATCACATCAGTGATAAACAAAAATATTACAGGTCATCAAATTTGAATTTCTATTTTTCGAGTGAAGCATATGGCATTGTGAACATACAAGATGAACACACATTTTCTATATTTTACGGCATGACCCTCAATGTAACCACATATAGGGAACTCTATTATGCAAGCATTTCTATTTTCATATATTAGGCTCATGGTAATTCAGAAGGAGATACTTACAGTTGCTTTTGAACCACTCACTGGCTCCTCGGGCATGACCCTTGTCCAATCTATTCCCATTCTAAAGACTTGCACACCTGTATCTTTAGCCAATTTTAGTTCTGTATCAGGATCAGACCAAAACCTTAATCTCTCTTCCCTGAAAATGATTACAGTCCATGCATTGGTTCCTAGGCCAAACAGATAATTTTTACAAAGAAATGTAGCATCCACAAGATCTCATGAGAAAAAAATGTCAAAGTGAAAAATGTCAATCCAGATTATTATCAGATAGGCCTGAGAGGGTTTCTGAGTATAACTGCTCAAGATTAATCAGCACTTAGTTTTTCAGAAATTATGCAAGAAATATGGGGCGTACGGGTGTGGAACATTATGCCAGGAGGCGACAGTATGATGACATTCTTCATCTGAGGCCGGTTCTTCTATTTCTACGAATTTCTCAATTCCTCTAATTCTTGCTTCCATAGATACCTTAATCGACTTCTTTCTTTTGATGGTCTTACTAGCTTCTCCTTCAGGTGGAAAAGCTTGCTGAGAACCACCATCCCCAGCAGCTGAAGCCAATATTGGATCCACTGGTCTAGAGCCTTCCTGAGACTCTGGTTGGTCACAGGGCTTTTCTTCTGCAAACTGAAGCCAAGCATCATCGAGCCTGTCTTCCACATGAGCTGGGGCTGTTGCTAATCCAAAAAAGAACCCTGTGTCTCCCTCTACAGAAAATCACATAATATTTCTCATGTCATATTCATGTGAATGGAAGTTATAATCCAAGAAAAGATTACATAATAAACCGACAAATTATATTCAAAAAATAACTAGGGGAATATACTAAAATTTTAAGCTGCGAAAATTCTCTAGTGAAGATATGACTCCCCACAATGGGTTAAGACCCTGTTTTTATGGCCATTATTTGGCCAAAATAATGTTTTGAATAATGATTTTTAGGAAAATTTGTGGTTAAAATATAGAAAAAAGTTTTCGTTTTATGTGCAGAATATTTTATTGTGTAAATGTGATTGAAAATGAGTGTGTAGAAAAAGGAGTTTTCAAATAATGGTTGTCAAACTAGGGCATCATAGCAAATACTAACTCGATCAACATTCAACATTGTCTGTTCCTCCTAAAAAATTGTTGCAAAAATTACATTTAGATTACAAAATAATAATATGATATTGAGAAACAAACACGGAAACAATTAGTTAGAGATATAGATATCACGTTCAGTTTGAGGAAATTCAAGTCCCCTTTCAAGGGACTAATGCAAGAAAAATCTCATGACTTGTCCTTCCAAAATACAACCACCCAACTAAAACAATGTGTAGCTCAAATCAATTTGTACTGAAGATTGAACTAAAATTTCGCCATAAATCACAAAAATTATAATGTGAATGTACATGAAGCCAAGGGTCACAAAAAGATCTTTTATACTGGCTGGTACATAGAAAAAAAAAATTGCATAAAAACTTTTTTACCTAGGTTTTTTTTTTTTTTTTTTTTTTAAAACCTAAATAAAAACTAATGGAGCTTTTAGAACAATAGTTAAGGGTAATCTAGGTCCAACAAAATTTATTAGGGAATAATACGTGATACTATAATGATTCCAAAATAATGATCTTGTCCACTCTTCGTCTCTCAGGAATAAATAATTTTATATTAGAATGTAAGCATTGACACTGTTAATTTATATTGTTTCTAAGCTAACAAAAATTATGTGTTATCATATATGCTCGGTGCCTTGAACATTGCCCCAAAAACTTTGACTTCTTTCAGAACTTTTGCATCCACTACTGGAATCAGGAAGCATTAACCGTAATAGAATACTAACAAAGGACGTTTATTCAAAAAATATTTCTAAGCTAACAGTGATAGAATCCTATCTTATTAACTAATACATTAACAATTCAAATTATGCAAAATTGAGAAAAAAATTTGCTACTTGTATTAAATCCTCAAAAGTACTAGTGGAATAATATCTAATGAATACTGTCATTGTTCTCATTGCAAGTTATGAGACAAAAATCCTACATCAAAAGTATGAACTTTCCGTGTGTGGTTTATATAGATTTTGGTTCTCCAGCTTCAACAGCTATTTAACATATGGCTCTTCCAAGATCTATATCAATGGTATCAGAGCATGCATCATGTCTACCAGTTTCAATTAAGCGACACTAATGGTGATGTCCGCATGGCAATGTTCGTCCAAGACTAGTCATAAACTAGTGCAAAGTCAGTCCGATGTGGGCATTGCGATCACAGAGCGTGGTAGATTATCATGGTTCTCATTACATGATATGGGACTTGAATCCCACATAAAAATATATGGACTTTCGGTGAGTAATTTATATAGATTTGGGCTCATCGACTACAACAGCTAACTTAGCTAACTTTTTGAGGTAGGACTCTCCCAAATCTATATCAAATACATATATTTTAACTTACCTTTTCTTCCATTTGTGAGGTTTCTTTCCATTTCTTGCTGAGAAACATGTTTGAAATTAAAGAAACATATGCATTTCCTGCAAACAGTTAAATCGAACCCGAATACTTATGGACCTGCAAACAAATTTATTTTATATAATCCTGCCAACAGGCTGGGTTTAAGCCAGTTGCAGTAACTCAGACCCAATTAAGAACCGACACGTGGCTGTTCTTAAATGGGTCAGGTCGTCTCAGGGGCGGAAGGACATGGGGGCCGGGGCGGTCAACTTTTTAAAAAAAAATTCCGGTTTATGCAGAATTTTTTATTTTTTTTAAATATATACTTAATATTCTAGAAAACCCATTTAACATTAAAAGATAAAGAAAAAAATTGAAATTACCGGCGGTCGGATTGACGTTGAATACGGCGAGAATATCGGAAGACTCATCGATGGGAGAACGAAAAGGCTTCAAGTTCCTTTTTCGGAACCGGGAGAAGGAAAAGGCATTGGCGGCGACTGTGACGGAAACTAGAATTCCGGCGAGTTTCGTCGCCGTTACAAAGAGTGTCACAAGTGTCATTTCTGTAAATATCCGATTTCTAGACTGAATCAGTGGACGGGAGTAGATTAAATAAAAAATTATATATTTTATTTTTTTCTTTTTTTGTATTTGACGGGCTGCATTGATACACGTGTCCGACATGGAAGTCAAATCCCTTCTTCTGAACAGAATAGTCTCTCTCTCTTTTTTTTTGGGGTAAATATAAATTTTATAGATCAAAACATCCTGTACAAGTATACCAAATACATCCGGACAAAACAAACATCAAGAGTCAATTACAAATACACCGAACATACTGAAGTAGTAAAAAGAAATGGCATACAAACTATAATAGCTAAGAGGCCAAAGCTAATGATTCATGATGAATTAAAGCATTCGGATACGAAGTGAACATAACTTTATATATGTGCATTTTAATCCTACCTACAGCACAATCAACGTGTGGCACAAGATCTTCAAAAATTTTCTTGTTCCTAGCTATCCAAATGTAATAAACTGAAGTAGTAAGTGCAATTTTCTTAACTTTGCTTTACCAAGTCATTCCCTGTGCCTCCTTTCTCATCCATTTCATTGCACTCGGCAAGGTGGACATTGTACATGTAATGGCCAACCACCTTCGAATTATTCCCCAAATAGAACTACTGAAAGGACGGGAGAAAAATGGATGTTGTACTGTCTCCTCCGTTAATCCACAAAGTTCACATCTACGGTCTAAATCCAAATACTGAATTTTTTCCTTGGTAAGGAGTTTGGTCTGAACAGCCAACCAAAGAATGAAGGCATGCTTAGGAGTAATGGATGTATTCCAAATAGTCGCTACCCATACAACCTTAGTGCCCTTCGGCTTGAAGAAACCATAGGCAGTCGAGATGCAAAAATTCCCAGTCTCCGTCCAACAAAGCAGTTTGTCCATATCGGCCTGGAGCATGCCTTCAACTCCCAAGATACTATCCCTAATTTCCAACACCTTTTTAAGTAAGAGAGAGTAATCTTTATTCACCTTGCATTCCCAAATGTCCTTCCCTTGAAGGAAAAAATGATTGACCCATTCAATCCAAAGGGAATCCTTTTTGCTATGTACATTCCAAAGAGTTTTGTAGAAAAGTGCAAAATTTCAGCTTTTAACGTCTCTAAAATCGAGCCCACCTTCATGCTTAGGAAGGCAAATGTTTCTCCAAGCCATCAATGGTTTTTTGATCCCCATAGGAAATTTCGGCATAAGCTAATAAGTTTAGAGGTAATCGCAGCTGGAATGGGAAAAATTGATAACAAAAAACATTCCACTCTTTGAAGAACTGCTCTTATAAGCTCCACTCTCCTCGCATAAGATATAGAGGCACAAGACCAACCACCAATTTAAGATGAGATTTTATTGATGATGGATTCATATGAGCTTACTTTCAATTTTCTCGCCGCAAGTGGAATCCCCAAGTATTGGAATGGCATGGAACCTTTGGGAATGTTAGTAAGAGCAAGAATATCCCCCAACTCTTGTCCATGCATACCAACGGTATATAAGCAAGACTTGTCAACATTTATTTTAAGTCCCGACATATCACCAAAGCTAGATAAGCAATTCAACAAAATTTTAATCGACATAACTTCCCCTCTAGCAAAGAGCATTAATTCATCCGCAAATGCCAAGTGAGTAACCTTTAACGATGCACATTTAGGATGAAAATTGAACTCACTATTCAAGATAGCTCCCTTCAACATCCTAGAAAAATATTAAAGAATGGAGAAAAGAGGATCACCTTAACAAAGGCCTTTTCTTCCCTTAATGAAACCATCACGGCTACCATTAAGTGTAATAGAGTATGTAGGAGTAGTAATAAACCGCTTTACCCAATCAATGAATGTAGTAGGGAACTGCAACCCCTCAAGGACCTTTTAAGAAAATTCCAGTTTATCGAATCATAAACTTTCTTCAAATCAATTTTGAGAAGGCACCTAGGAGATACTCTCTTTCGGTTATATTACCTTAAGAGCTCTTGGGCCAAGTGAATATTTTCCACCATGCTTCTACCCTCCACAAATGTGGCTTGAGCTTGATCAACAATTGAACCAAGTATAGACCTCAAACGAGAAGATAGAATTTCAGTGGTAACTTTATAAAACACATTGCAACAAGCAATCGGTCTGTACTCTTCCACGGTATGCGAATGATTAGTCTTTGGAACTAATGTAATAATTGTGTGGTTGATTTGCTTGAAGAGAGACCTCGAAGTAAAGAATTCTCCAATTGGCTCCATGAACTCTTCACCGACAATATTCGAAGTCTTCTTAAAAAACATAAAGTGTACTCATCCGGTCCTCGTGACTTATCATCCCGGATACTAAATAGGGTATCTTTGATTTCATGTCTCATGACTTCTTGATCAAGTAACATGGCATTTTCCTCCGATAATATTGGCCCAATATTCATAATTTTAGCATTGAAGGGCTGTCCAAAGCTGTCTTTTTCCAACAATTCACTGTAGAAATGGATGAATTCCTCTGCTACTTCTCTTTGAGAAGTAGAGTAAGTGATATCCCTTTTTATAAAAATTGGAACATATTTTCTCTTCATGTTTCTCTTAGCCATAGAGTGAAAAAAAAACTTTGTAAATTTGTCGCTCTCCCTCAAGTAGAAACATTTTGCTTATTGATAGTAGAAGCTCATTCTCGCTTCACAAAGATTCATAGCTTCTTTTCTCAATCTTGTCACATCATTTTGTAATTGAAGGTTCGTGGGATCATTTTGTAAGTCAACTTGCATAAATTCCAATCTCCTCAAAACAACTTTAGCCCTTGATTAGATATGTGAGAAATGTTTGTTATTGAGCTTCTTAAGCACACCTTTAAGATGTTGCATCTTCTTACAAAGTGAGAATTGCTTCGTTCCACATATATCTTGATTCCATCCATTACATACCAATTCATAAAAATCATCATGGTTTGTCCACATTTTGAAGAATCGAAATGGAATGTTCTTCCTTTCAACTTCTCCAAAAATAGAAACAATGCAAGACGAGTGATTGGATAGGCAAACCGAGGGTAGGAAATTTGCAAAGCTATTAAAACCTCCTTGCATCCAAGTTTCATTCACCATGGCCCTATCTAGCTTACTCCAAGTCGAGCCGTTAGTCCAAGTAAAAAAGCATCCAATAGACCTCACATCGGAGAGCCCAACACTTAGACAACAATATTCAAAATCCTTCACCTCATAGGGAGTAACATCTGCTCCATTAATTTCTTCATCAAACTTAAGCACATTATTAAAATCTCCCAAGAGCAACCAAAGTAAAGAACAATTTAAACCATGCTCCATAATGTTATTCCAAAGAGGCCTGCGACTCACAATAGTGTGGTAAGTATAAACAAAGCTAACAAGAAAGGTAAGTAACCTTACAAGTAATGGAGCAATGTATGACTTGCGGCGAAATCTCCAGTACTTCCACTTCAACTTTCATGGAATTCCACAAGACCATAATCCGGCCATGTTGGTGGGTATGGAAATTGTTAATTTGCAAATATTCACAAATTTATTCCGCATAATCCTACTTAACTTTACCTCAACGAACTTTGTTTCCAAATTACCCATAATATAAATATCATGTTGTTTTATGAAGCTCTCAACCCCATTTTGGAGTTCAATCCCCTGATGTTCCAAGTAGCAATCTTCATGTTGTTGAAGCAAGGGAAGATCCCTTCTTATTATTGATTATACCAACCTTCCTTTGCTCCTCTATTTTATCTTTGAGCTATTCATTACTCATCACCATATATGTGACGTTCAATGCTAATGGCTAGCACCATGGCAATTTATTTTGTATCAAAATCTCTTTTCTTCAACTTGACTTGAGCGTAATGCTCCATGGAGTACGTATTCGTAAAGCACCAGAAAACATATGCACATAGAGAATTGGGCTGCCACTTGCACTTTGTGGAGCAATCACATGATATTATTCACACAATAAAAGGAGAAATAGCAAAAGAAATGATGTTGTTTAAGAAAATGAGGGGAAAAGGAGAATTCAAACTCTTAAACCCCAACTGAGAGTTGTAGATAGGGATGTAGTCGAGCCGAGCCGAGCCAGCTCGTGAGCTGAAATTTTCGACTCGGGCTCGACTCGAGTAAATCGTAGCGGGCTTTTTTTGGGCCCGAGCCGAGCTGAGCCAAAGCTCGACCAAAAAAATAAGCTCGGGCTTTTTACGAGCCGAGCCTGCTCGATTTTTTTTTTTTTTTTATTTTATAATTTTTAATGACATTTTTTTTCACATGCCAATTGTTGTGGTGCAATTTGTTTAGTATAGAAAGCAAAGATATTGTTTAATGATATTTTTTAGAAAGAATTTAAAAATTGCATCATTTATTATTTATACAAATTACAAATTAAATAAAAGTACAATTTTCAAAATTATGTAATTTATACGAATAACAAAATAAATAAAAGTTACAAATTACAACCCTCCTCCTTTTTTCGGGCTTGGGACCGGTTTCAATTAATGTAGGCGGAGTTAAGATTGTACACGAATAGAATATTTCGTGTACAATTTTCTTGAATCAAATAAATTTAAAAAATATATTTCTTAAAGAAAAATAATCAATTTAAAAACTTACAACATCCTATATTTGGATATGCTGCAACTCTTCGACCATTATACTATCAACATATTATTGAACACCTAATTCTGCACATTCTCAATCCTTCAAACATATCAAAGCCTCCAATATATCTTCTTTTAGTTTTGATCGTTCATCTGATAAAATTCGATCACCTAAACTGAATGCAGCCTCCGATGCTACCGTAAACACCAGAGGTGTTAGTAGATCACGTGCAATTTTTGATACAATTGGATATTGTCTTTCATTACATCTCCACCAATTTAAAAGACTAAATTCTTGTAATACGTTCGGTTGCAACACACTACGAACATCCACGCACATATATCTAGCTAACTCAGAAGGAATTTCAAGATTTGTACCACCAATATTGATCACTCTAGATGTTGATGAGCTAGAACTAGAACTAAATGAAGGAACACTTGTATTGCTATCTAAATAATTCCATAAATTTTCGAAATTTGTTGAAATATTTCTTGAAAAAGAATTTTGGGAAGTAAAACTACGCTGACCTTCCTTTTCAACATAATAATTATACATTTCACATAAAAAAGATTCTATATGCACGTGTGATAATTCTATATTCAAAAAATCAGATATCCCCTTTACAGTAGTTTTTGTACCAGTTAAATTAAGTCGAGGGTCCATTACTGAAGCTAAAAGAAATAAAGAAGGCAACTCTTCCCAATATTTACAAAATTTTAATTTCATAGAGCGGACTACATCAGCAAAAAGTGACAAATTCCTATAGTTATGAAATGCTTGTGAAATGTAAAAAAAATATTGTAAAATAAGAGAAGATGTAGGGTAATAAACACCGCTACATTCCTTTGTAGCATCGAAAAGAGGTTGTAAGAATTTTTTCACGTAAAATACAATAGTCCATTCCCAATCTTCCAAATTATGTTCGAGTCCGAGTGTATGCCTACCATTATAATATAGTGAAATCACTTTATCGTAATTTTCACACGAATGTAACAGAAGATATGTAGAGTTCCACTTATGTGTTACATCAGTAGCAAATGATTTCTCCTATAATCGATACTCTGCACACAAACTATTAAATGTTTGTTTTCTTGCTGGTGACACAATAATAAAATTTATTACTTGTCTAATTTTATCTAAAGGTGAACTTATATGTTCTAATCCAACTTTTACAATCAAATTAATAATATGACATACACAATGTTGATGAAAACGGGGTTAAGATCAGCAATAAATCTTTCAATAACAACTTTGTTCACTGAAGTATTATCAAAAGTAAAATTTCGAACCCTATCTTGTATACCATATTCCTATATGATATCTTTTAAAACCATGTATATGTTAGTGACATTATGGGGAAATTTTACACATCTGAATGCAATAATTCTTTTATGTAGAAGCCACAGGTGATCAATATAATGAGCCGTAGCAGCAATATAAACTTTTCTATTACAACCAGTCCATAAATCAGAAGTAAACGATATAACACTATTAAAACTTTTTAGACCTTCAATAGTAATTTTTTTCCTTCTGTTATATAATTTTATGCTATCTGAACGAAGAGTATTTTTAGAATAAGAAGAATACCTGGG